TAAACCCCAAACCCCTAAACCCTTTGGGGAGCAACCGGAGGTTTCATGCCGATTCTTGTGCCACGCGCTTCCATGTGCCCCGCAGCTGTCTCGGGAATGCTTGCTCAAATATTCAGCGTTTCGGTCTACTAGGGCTTTAGCCTAGCATGCTAGGGTTAGAGGTTGCAGACTCCACTCTCACATATGGGAGTTTCCGAAATTAGGGTACCTTATTTTGGAGTCCTTATAATAGGGATCCGACCCCCTATTTTCGGAAACCCCCATATGTAGCACATAGCACAGGCCAGCCACAATTTGAACAGTATGGACATATTGCTGCATGTGCGTCGTGTGCCCACAGCCTAATAATCAAGCCCGAAATCCCCTAAACCCTGAACCCTTATCATAAGCTAGCTTAATGGCCGTGGCCCGGTCCGCTGCCATGTATCCGACGATTCGATTCAGTCCAACGTCTCAAGGCTGCAGCACTCTGCGTGGAAGCCCACAAAGTGGACGACGCGCAGAAAGCACCCTAGACCTAGACCCAAAACCGTAAACCCCAAGCCCTAAACCCTAAACCCTAAACCCAGCAGCCTTTGCGAAGTTCTCCAACTTATGTATGCAGTAGTATTTCAGAGGGGACCTATCGCACCCCTTGAGCCCTAAACCCTAAACCTTTGAATCCTAAACCCTAAGCAGCAAAAAACTCGAAAAGCAAGTGGAGAACTGCACGGCCAAGATCCTTCATCCAAGCCCGCCAGAGTCTTGAAGTGAAGCTTATATAGGGCCGCAATAAATAGAACAGGACTTTTGGGAATTTTCATAAATGTCTTCGACTATAGTTCGAATAAAGAACCACCATGAGAGTGTTGGTAAGTTGTTCGGCCCTATTTATGGCAATATCAAGGCCTCGCCCTCTCTAACCAACGTCAAAGACGTGGCTACTGTTGCAGTCTTGTATTCCTCCAAAGATCTGGCGGTATGGATAATTTGGCTTTCGGCTTTTGGTCAAAGTAAGACCATACACTGGAAGGTTTTTTTTGTGACCGTCTTAACCCTACCCCCAAGGAACATGTGGCCGACAATGGCATCTTCTACAGCATGGTATTAGCCTGAAATCAATAACAGATATTATGCGAACCCCTGATAGCTAATGAAGGGGCCTTAATAATTAGAAGAGGGTTTTGGGGTATATTATACTAGACTTATAATAAGGAATCCCCACAATAGTGTTGGTAATTATTTAGGCTTCTGTACTCATTAATTCTTATAAATACTTTGTACAGGACGGATCAGGTTAGGTGCGATAGTCCTAGAACCCCGAGCACCTCTAAACCCGAAACCCCGGACCCTGAATCTAAATCCTAAGCCCTAATATAGAAGCCTAGATAGTTACCTATACTATGTTGAGGGTTCCTTAATATAATTATAGTAATAATATAGCACAAAGCCCGATTGAATTATCAAGGCCCCTACATTAAACCCGATCGAAACCCTAAACCCCGGACCCCGAATCCTAAACCCGAAACCCTAAACCTTAGATCGCGGACCCTGAATCCTAAACCCGAAACCCTAACCCTAAACCCTACACCCTAAAGGAAACAATCCATTTGCAACTTACCGGGCCGATGGTGACGATGAGGCGGATGCCTCCTGGCTAATTTATGGGGGCCTTCATAGTTTAGGGTTTAGGGTTTAAGGTATAGGGGCCTTCATACTTCGCAGTTTAGTGTTTTGGGGCTCCTTTAGAGGGGTGCCTTCTCAAGTTAATTATAAGGATTCACTACAGGGGGCTTTAAGAATTCGATTGGTGTCTGGGGCCAGCTTGAGCGTACATCTATAGCATCGTGATCATTATTGGGGACCCGACAGAAACATAGCGTAGGTAATCATTTAGGCTCCTGCATTACCTCCCGCTAAGTTGGTTCAAGCAGGCTTAGAAGTTTGCCTGGGTTAAACTTGCTGGGTAGGCCCCGAGTATGCACATTGTGCATGTTCCCTTATGGGGCCTAAGAGCATCTTACCCAAGGGTTTTAAGAGGCCAACCTAGCTTGTAGTGGAATACCCTAACTGTTCTGTGCTCTCTGAGGCTTTCAGTGTATCCCGAAGATTTGAAACCCTGTTCCCTAAGCCATCATAAATCCCAAATTCCAAACCCTCAGCCGTAAACCCTGCACCCTGAGACCTAAGCCTCATAGTTCTAAAATCCCTACACACTCTTCTGAAAGCCCTTAGCCATGCGAGGTGCACTCGGTGCAGATGAAGCTGGCAGTCTTGGAGCATCAGCCTCCTGACAGATTCAGAACTCGTATCAGCATTGCAACATACTACAACCGTCAGCATACATGTACGTATATCAGGTATGTTCACGATAGATCGCGAGCCAGATAGACGGACATCTGGGTAACCCTTGAGTGACAAAGCAGATGATAACAACAAGCTCAAGAAGGCCAGAACATTGAAGACCGGAAGGCTGGAAGAGAGACATACTGAGAAGGATGTGGGACAGCATGCATAAAGCGACTCATGTAAGGCAGAGTGCGATGGACGGCAAAGTTTCCGAGCTGGAGAATGCGGTGAAAGTCTTGAGGCACCGCAGCCTTGCCGAGCATTGCTGATTCGATGCACGCCCTAACAAAGGGTTCACGAACCGATGCGCTGCAATTAAGCCCTATACAGTCCTATCCTTACAATCCTTGTAAACTTTTGCCAGATTCAGAGCTCTATACACCCTAAACTTGCTGAGTTGCAAAGAGCGATTCGTCATCAAGGTACGAAGCCCAAGATCCGTCAAGTAAGGCAGCCCCCCACTTGAATGCCCAATGTTTAGGGTTTAGGGCCTTGTTGGGTCTGGTTAGAGTATAGCCTAAACTCTGAACATTAGACAAGCTCCAATCCCAAGCCGTAAGCCCCAAACCGTAACGAAATTACCCTTTGAGGTTCAGATACCGTCTAGGGGTTCATAGAAAGGGGGTATAGGGCCCCTATGTTTAACGGTCCTTTGGTCCTTAAGAAAGCCTTATTGGGTGTAGAGCACAAGATAGAGGACCAGCGCAGACCCATCCGGCGCCTTTGCACAGCAGCTACTTCAGCTGAAAAGCGCCCGGGCCCCGCTGCGGGCTCCCGGGCTTCGTGGGGTCAAATGGGTGGTTGTCAAAATTATGGTCCCTTTCTGGGCCATTATTACAATACGGCACCTATTACTTAGGGTACCCCACAAGGGACCATAATTTTGACAACTACCCAAATGTTTTCGAGCTTCGGGTTTTTGGGGGTTGACGGGTTGAGGGCTTAGTGCTGTAGTGACTGTAAGATGTGTGGGGTTGGGTAACAAAGGCTGTTACCTAGAGGCTTCATATGTATATATATATATATATATATATACACATACACACTATGATTATGGAATTAGGCTCCCCAAAACCATGGTACGGTTGGTCTTTCGGGGCCCGAATCCATAATGGTAGTCTATATGGAGCCTCTGGGTTATAAATGCTTAGCAGTTCAGGCTTCACGTGACCAGGGTTTCGCCAAGGTTTCGGCTAAATACCTATATGGTAGATACTTTGGGGCCCAAAATATCTATTATATGAGTACTTAGACCCTTTGGGGTTTCGACGAAGTACAAGCGTTTAGGGCTTCAGTGTTTTGGGGTCTGGTCTGGGTTCTAGGTTTTGGGCTTCTGTAGGGCTTCTGCAGGGGCCTGGGGTGGGCTATTGTGTGTAATGTAGGGGCTTCAATAATTAGAATAGGGTTTTGCGGGCTCTTTGTTCTAATTATAGTATCATATCCCCCCCCCTCGCCCTATTCTAATCATTAAGACCCCTATAGTTCTGCTTATGTGCGGACGGGAGAGCGGAGGTGAACAGAGGTGAACGGATGAAAGGGTTTTGAACCTGCAGAAGCGACTTCAAAAATACAGAGCCGCAACCCCAAAGCCCCCGCTGCTCCTCAGTAGAGATCAGAAACATCTTCTTGACGTTGTCGTCAGACTCATGAAACTTGTTGGGCTTATCCCTAACCCCCCAGGTACCTACTATATAGGGCTCTAGGGGCTCTAGTATCCTATATAGTAGGTACCTGGAGGGTTACCTGCGTTCGCTTCACCACAGAATCATCGGTAGACTCTTGGACCTTGTGAACCACTTGACCTGCCTAATACAGGAGCCCTATAGTAACTACCTATACTATTCTGGGGGTTCCTTATTATGACTGTGGCAAAATATACCCCAAAACCCTATTCTAATTATTCAGGCCTCTACATTATCATGAAGCAATGCTGTTTGCCCTAAACCCTAAACCCTAAACCCAATTCTAATTTGTAAGGCTTCTACATTATCGTGAAGCAATGCTGTTTGCCCTAAACCCTAAACCCTAAACCCCAATTTTTAAGGCTTCTACATGATTATGAAGCAATGCTGTTTGCAAGCCTTGTGCACAGAAGCAGGAGCTGGTAGCCGCCGCTGAGGCCTTCTGAGGGTGAACTCTGTTGGGGCTTAGGGTTTAGGGTTTAGGGTTTAAGGTTTAGGGTTTAGGATTTAGGGTTTAGGGTTTAGGATTTAGCGTTTAGGGTTTAGGGTTTAGGGTGCTGTTTACAGCTTCCTTGCATTCTGGATTAGTCTTGTGATTGTGGCATGTTCTTCAGAATCGACTTGAGGGAAACGCCATCATAAAACTCATCATCATTACCAACATCATCATGGCCATGCGTTTCTTGTCTCCTCGTCAGTGATGGTCCTTGTTCGATTGGACATGGCGTTGTAATGTTTGACATGGATTCAGGTGTGTTTGTTGGCACGTACTTATATTAAAACTTGCTGGGTAGGCAATTATCAATGGATACATTGGTTTACTGATATGCGTTCAATCAAACCATTTAGATATGTGCTTCCGGCGCAGAATGGACTTGTTTCTTTTCCTACTGCCATCTCACCTTTTGGTTTTTGGGGTGTGGGTTGCAGGCCTATTCGGGAGTTTCAGAAAGCAGGGGACCTTGTTGTACAGACCCTATTGAGATCCCCCTAGAAAAGAGCCAACCTCTATTCAGTTGGATGCTAAACTTCTGCTCATGTTCGGTCAGACATGTTCAGATGAATGCCCTGTACAGCGTGCGAGTACCTGTGAAACAAGGCGTAACAAAGCCTGTGAAACCTAAACGAGACTCCATTGGAGGTTCTGGACCCTCCCAAGGAGATACCTCCCAAGGGTCCTAGGTACTGTGACGAAGGATACCTGCCCAAATCTTAACAAGTATTCCTGATATAGAAACCCTACATTTCACCACAATGAAATACTACAAAGGTACCTTGGACCCTTTGGTCCTGTAGGACTATAGGACCCTATCATGAGGAGGATACGAAGCATCGAGCAGAGCTGGCGGGGGAGCTTCGCTCAGAGCTCCAGGAGGCTTGACAAGCGCGGTTGAAATGTGGGAGTTTCCAAAAATTAGGGTACCTTATTTTGGGGTCCTTATAATAAGGATCCTATTATGTAGGGTACTATATTAGGGCCCCCTATTTTCGGAAACGCCCATGTGGGAAAAGCAGATAATTTCCTCTAGGGCTTAGGGTTTAAAGTGTAAATTCAGAGTGTTTGAACAGGAGGACCAGTGCAGGATGTGGAGTACTTGAGCAGGGCTTTGGGTTATGGGTTCATTATGAGAGGTTGTTAGTGAGGTGTGGGGTTGTTTCGATGTTGCAAGATTTGCTTGGTAGGGTATTGTGGATGTTTCTAAGTGTTTTATCCAATGAAGAAGTATTGGAGGGCTTTCCTGCTCGTAGTAGGATTTTTCAATGCGGATCTCATACTTAAGCTTTATGTCTGGGTTCCTTTCACTTCTGAAGGCGGTCTTCATTTTGTTGCGGTATCTTCCTACACGAAGCCAAGTCGAAGGAAGACAGTCTTCGGGCAGCCGCTTCTGCTTGCACTGTCCCCCATATTAGCCTACAGTGCTACCCTATTGCAGCTGAGCCCTGCCCTCAAATGCCAAGTTCAGTTGAGTATATGTGTTCTTCACACAAGACCTCAACCCCTTTCTACCCTAATGCTCCCTGTTGCTATACCTATCTCCGTTGTAGTTCCTTTTTGGCCTAAATATAACGATTGCCATACCAAAAAATGGGACTACAATGGAGACAATAGGTATATATATATATATATATAGTGCACACTTAGGGCTAAACCCTAAACCTTAAACCCTCAAACCTAAA